ACGTCGTCGGCCAACTGGTCCGGACCGGACGGCCTGGCTCAGTGGGAGATCGACCGATATAACAAGCGCATGGGCATCAAGGGCGCTGGTGTGCAGCTTGCCAATCGCGACGGCAGCCACCCTGCGCCGCCGCCTCCTGCGCACCTGCGCATGTCGATGGCGCATCGCCAGTCGTCGGCCGCGTCGTCGTCGGCCGCAACCAAGAAGGACGATCCGCGCCCCAAGTCTTGATTCAGCTTCGACTGCCTGTCTATGTTATTCTTGCATGATGATGTCAATGCATATAGTCACGAACGCGTTCGACCTGTCTGTGGCGCGCTTCTGCTTGGAGGAGTTGCGCATTGCGATGTAGCACACGAGACTGCGCAAGTGGATGAGAAGGACACTGCTTGGGACAAGTCGCACTTTGAGGGTGGCAAAATGGTCACGTTCAGCCGACTCGGCGCAGCCGCCAGTCGCAACCCACCACACATTCCGCCACAGAGCATCGAGACACGATGCTGGCGATTGCGAGCCTTTGCTCAAGCAGAAGCGGCTTTTCGTGCCACACTGCGATTCTTGCGAGCCGCACACACTCTCAAACTCGACACACACTGCAGCCAAGCACGAGCTGATCACGAAAAGCCAATGGAGTGTGGGGTATGAAGGATTGCAAGCAGTGTGGCGCTACAATTGGGCGTACCCATGCGGGTCTCTGTGTGAGTCGGGCGCGTCGTCGTCCTCCTCGTCGAGCGCGGATCCACGCACGTCGCTCCAGCCATGCGCATCTCTGTGCAGAAACTGGGCCGAATGCGTCTGGAGCGCACTGACGCTATTGTGCGGGTGGTGGAACGAGCTCCACCTCCTTCCACCCTCTGCACGCGTTACTGGTCCCGACGCAGGACTCGGTTGCGGATAGTTGTACGACGACGAGCGTTTGGGATTCAGCGATCCACTGCGTCGCAAACCCGCAGCAGGATGTTGTGGCGGTGGCTGATGCCTGTGTGCATCCACCTGGGTGTGATGCGCCCGTGCGCCCGCAAACGGATCGCTGTCAGGCTGCGCCCCATCCCCACCATCGTCGACATCGTCGTGGTCGAGATCCTGCCCGATCAGCCGCTCGCGCTCGCGCTCGCGCCCCTGCTGGCTGCGCACAAAGCTATCCCGCTTGCGTGCCAGCCACTCGTTGCGTCCCACCAGACTCGCAATGTCCTGCGTCAGCAGGTCCACCTGCCGCTGCCCCTTGGGAGGCTGGTCCTGCAGCCGCAGGATGTCCGACACCTTTTCGCGGATCGTGCTCCCCAGCGAACCCTGTCGCCGCATCAAACCCGGCGGATTGCCCGACGGCGTCGTCGGACTCATGGGTCCATTCGCGGAAGAGTCGCTGTTGGCCACCGCCGACGCGTGTGCATCGTCGTGCCCTGCCGCGCGTGCTGGCCGAATCCCCTCGCCCTCGGCTTCGCCCTCGTCGATCCCGAGCATGCGCTGCTTGCTCGGCGGCACCAATCGCAGTCCGCCCGAGTTTTTCGGCTCCTTGTTGGGCTTGAAGCCGGCATAGGTTCCGGACTCGAGCGCGTGGCCCCACTGCGCATTGCTCGAGACCGCCGAGCCGCCTTCGTCGTCCTCAAGCCGGCGGCGCGGCGGGGGTGGACGTGCACCTACGGTCTTGGAGCGCCGAAGGTTGCTGCTCACCTGGCTGTCGTCGCCAGCCTCGTCAGCAGCGTCGTCGCGGCGCGGCGGAAAGAAGGGATTGTTGCGCTCGATGCGCGCCGCGTTGGCAGCCGCTTCGTCCGACATGGCCTCTGCCGAATCGGTCAACTCGTCGACGACGGTGCGCGACGCGCGCCCACGCACACCGCCTTCGGTGGGCTGGATGGGCGGCGGCGGCGGCGGCTCGCTGCCTGCGGCGAGCGCCTCGCGCTGCAGCTCCTCCTGCTCCTTGAGCCACGAGGGCAGCGTCGCCTTGAGCTTGCCTTCGTCGCTGGTACTCGGCGGCTTCTTGGCATAGATCGCCTTGGGTGCCACGGTAGGCACGGTCCTCTGCGCGTGCGACACCATGGAGCTGCCCGCGCCTACCTCGCTGTCGCCGCCGAGGCCGAGGCCGCGCTGGAGCTGGCTCGAGGAGCGGCGTGGCGCGGTGCCCAAGTCGGTGTCGCCGCGGCCCAGGTCGGAGGCCGACTGCTGCGAGTCGCGGCGCTGCAGCGGCGCGCCATCCGAGCCGACGCGCCCGCCCAGCAGCGACTTTGCGCCGGACGCGGAGCGCTTCTTGGCATGCCCCGATACGGGCGCGACCTCGGGCGGCGCCGTCTGTCCGTTGAGCAGGCGCGGCTT